TTTTTTTTTTTTTTTTGTACACCGAGCAAACACAGATGCACCATATACGTGTCACGCCGTACTTATAATTACCATGACGCGCTACGTACTTACGCGACGTACTTAAACGATTCCCCAAACACCTCCGGGAAGCGTCCCGTCCGACGGACGTTCGGAATTGGGTGTCCCGACATCCGCGTGAACTTCGAAGGAGGGAAAAGCGATCCGAACCGGGGCGTGGAATCGAGCGGGGAATCGGGGGGTTGCAGCACCGATCGTCCGGACTGGAATTTAATTATTTGAATCAATCGCGGGGGCTGTGATTACCGCGTCAGCCCGATAAACCAGGCTTCACCTGTCGCGCGCACCTTTGATCCATATCCCGTGCATATAACCGCGCGTTGCATCTCCCGTCCATCCGGTGTTCGTCTACTGTGCATCATCGAGGAGAGGACGATCCTCGCGCGTTGGCCAATCGTGCGTTTAGGTGTTAATGACAGGGGATCGCTATTATACGCGCGCGCTCATAACGAGAGGAGCTGCGTCTATACGTTGTGTTTCTCTCCTGGGCCTCTTTTGCCTTTCCCTTTTGACTTTTTCTTGCGCTTTACACGGTCGGTACCGACCGTCTCTCCCTCGCGCGTTGTATTATAGCTTTCATAACGCCGACGCCGCGAAATTGTAGCGCCCCAGTGGTTCTCGGCCCGATCCGCGTCGTCTCACCTTTCTCACCCAAGGTCCGACATTACATCGACGAATAATAACCGCACATTTGGTACTTTTTGTCTACGTGGTGATCGCGCGCGATCTTCTTTTCGCCGTTTCTCCAAAAGGACAGTTGAATTTTTAAGTCTTACAAATCGTTCAGATTGTACCGCAGGTCAATCGTGGGATAAAACCTTCTGAATAGTTCGCTTCGGCAGACGATAGAAAAATGTATAGGTAGTTGCGAACCTGTAACGAGCGGCGAATTGGTTCCTATATCGCGAGGAGCACGTAGAAGTAATATATAGGATCCATTCTTCTCTCCCTCTATCTCGCTCTTTTCCTCTTACGTACAGGGCCCATCCTACCAGTTATTATCCGGAGTAATCGTGCCTAAAAGCCGGTGCCCGCTTTTGATTAAAATTGGCTTTTAATTCATTTGGCAGCCTCTAATCTCGCGGCGGCTCCGATCAGAGGGAACCAGAGCGAGAGGGCGACGAGCCGATGCTCAGGGGAAAGGAGTGGAGGGAAGTCGAGGGAGAGAAGACAGAGGTTTGAAGCGAAAAATTTAGTGGCTTCCTCTCTTCATCCTCATATACGTGCCGCCGAGCTTGCGAGTGCGTCATGAATAAATTCCGATGTGGCACCTTTCGGCAAAATATATTACATCGATCGATTGCAGATGCCTCTTGGAATGTTTCTTATGTGTAAAGTATAAAAAATAATTTTGGTTTATACATCGCATTTCTAATTTTCTGTCCTTATTGTGTCTTTTTATAATTCAGTCGTAGAATTTTACATCTGAGAATACATCAGATTTTTTTAAACTATTACCTGGGATGTTTCTTTATATTCAAATTCAAATCATTATAAACAGTAATAAGATTGGAAATAAAATCGTTATTATATTACATATTAATTGTTTTTTTATTTATGTCCTAATTTGGATTTAATCACAAAACTTTTTGAAAAAAATAAATAGAATCTAAGTAAATATTAGACGGAATAAGTACATTAAATAATGTATTATTACAGTATTTCTGAATAAAATAAAGAATTTCATCAATGTAACTTTTTTATTGGGAAATTGCATATTTAATGATTCATAAAAATAATTATTAAAAGGAAAAAAATGTTACACCAATATCCATACAACAAATAATATTTTTTTGTCGCTAAAGTAAAAGTATCCTAGAAATGATCTATTCCGTACACGTCTATCGATGTGTCGTTATGTATGGTGACTATTTTCTCGAGTTAAGAACTCCTAGATTTGCACCAAATAATTTACTTTCACATAAGTACTTTTGTTATATTTCTTCAATTTCTCCAATTTTAAGAAATTAATTCAAAAAGTATTTTTACCGATACCGAGATACTTGTTTATTGCGTTCGACACATATCCTAATACCGGTGATGAGGAAAAGATTCTTCGGCCGAGGAAATCCGTCAAATGGAAGATTGAAATCAACGCGCCGTAGACGCCTGTCTCGAAACTCCGCGCGTCTGGCAACTTACTAACAAACGCGTCAACACTCGAAATGGCGCTTCCTTTCTTTGATAACGATAACCATCGCTTCGGGACGAAGCGACAGAGTTTCGCCGCGATTGCTTCGGTCGTCGACGACGGAGGTACCGGAAATGTGAAAGTTCGGTAATGGGTAACTGGAGCGAGCAAACACGGATAGAGGACTTTGTGAAACGCGCGCGGTAACGTCGCTCCGGTTGTTATCATCGTATCTTTTTCCGCCATTGTACCGCAGATATTGCGCGACGCATACTTAAAATTCCGCTGTCACAAACCGGAAGGAAAAGAGTATCGATTCCGTGCTCGATAGTTTCTGATTTATTTGCAACCGTTGGATACTTATATTATCATGTAACGCACATTCCATGTCTCATTACACTAGTTTCGCTACGCTCGAATTTCCATATCCCGTATAGCTCTCTCAATATTTCCGATAGAGTTCGTATTAAGATAGCGTAGCTATATCGGTTCAAACCGATTGCTTCGTAAAACTTCTTACCATTTGTTAATTGATAAACCGTCGACGATTAAATGACTTTTAAAAGAGGAAATTTTTAAAGTTTCTTAACAACTTTATCAGTATTTGCAACTAATATTTGTTTTTACAATAACAAAAATATAACTTTGAGTCTTTATTTTTGCCAATTAATTACTGATTGATTGGTTCGCAATTGATCGGTTGGAAAGATTATAATTTTCTGATTAAATGTCTAATGTATTAAAATTATGTATCATACAATTGATGGATTGCTAAAAAAAAAAATGATTTTTACATTCTTTGCTGTTAAAAATTTATTAATTAAGTTTTTATTAATTAAGTTTTTATAAAACATTTTTTTCTGAAATATAAAATAGATAGAAATTTATTACTAAGTTTGATGAAATGGTGTGTTTTGATTTATAGCTTAGTTTTTTATGTAAAATAATCTATTTGAGAAACGCGAATATAATATACATTTTGTTATTGTGCTGTGTATGCACTGTGTTGTTATGTATTTATCGCTTATTTAAATTGTAAAGTGATTGCGTAATTTATGGCTAATTATTCAATGATAAGTGCTTTTGAAATGTACATCTCAATTATTGCTATCTACCAATCGATGCATCAATATTCATAAAATCTATCGATTGCCGTGTTAAAAAGGGTGTGTAATTATATGTACGTATTTCTCACACGGATTACTTTGATTCAAATGATAGATAAAAACAATGGTTTCTCCTGAATGATACTATCAAACTCGGCATCCCATTGCGAGGCAAATCCAATTAATTAGCGTAAGTGGCGCAATTAATTGGCGCGGATTACACACCATAGGCTAGTGAGATAGCAGTTTGAGATTAAGTTCTCTGTTTCTTACTTTTTTTTTTTTTCATCAACGAAGACCTGTGGAAGGCGAGAAAGAGGCGCAAGTAGAAGAGAACAGTAGAGAGAGAGAGAGAAAGAGAGAGAGAGGGAGAATTGGACGAAGCTGAAGAAGGGCTTTACGAGGCAGTTCGGGGACATTCTTGATTTCGATGTTAGAAGGGAATCCGACGAGAACCACTTGAATTTAACGAGGTTCCACGGCAAATGGGCCACCCTGCAGACTCGCCTCCTTTATTTTCTCTATATTACTGGAACTCATGCCGCACTATTAACCCATGAACAAACACTTGATCTTAAGATTGCGCTTTCTATCACAAAATTTCCGAGATCGATCTTAAACAAACCTATCGGCAAAAATTTTTGCACTTTTCGATAGTTTCTTTATTAAATACGTCGAAGCGCAATGGTTCCTAAACTATTATGAATTTTTTTGAATATTTTATTTTAACACGAGTGAAGTGCCTTCAAATTATTTACGACGTAAAGTGATAAATTTATGTTACTAAATAATAAGGGATATAAAAATATCGCGCCATTAATATCTTGTCTCTACTAAATAAGAAATTAACTTGATCACTTCTGACCCAATTCTCACAACGAGTAACAAGCGCATTGGTGAATATTTCTCGTGTCAGAAGTAAAGGAAAAAAAAGAAAGAAGTCATCGTCGCGCACCTGTACCTGATCCCTTTTTTTCCCATTCGACGAACAAAGGGTGCCTGCTTCTCGCTCGACAAAATTTCGTAACGCCAAGTAGGAAGGATAAAGGGAAACGGGGGGACAGAGAGAGAGAGAGAGAGACACAGAGAGACGGCGCTGCACCTACGGTGCAACGTGCACTTCGGGGTCGAGGCACGACAGGATCCGCTAAGTGGCAAAGCATACACCGGACGGTCTGTGCCTCCTTCATTAGCACCAACTAGCCTCGGCGGTAGGCTTAGCCCGAGTCTTTTCTTCTTTTCTGCCGGTGCCGAAGAGTGCGCCGAGTAGAGGGGCCCCAGCGTCGTTGTAGGTACAACTCGCGCCATAAACCTCGACGAGGTCTCTTCTCGGAAATATGCCAGCATGCATACCGAAGCACAAAACGGTTCGCTTTGTGCATCCTGTCGCCTGTCCTCTGAGATCGAAGCTTCGTGTTGGTTATAGAAACTGCAAGAGTTTCTACCGAAGTCTCTCGAGTTCTTCCAAAGAATTCTTACGTTTACAGTGCACAGATATTATTTTGCGCAAAGTTGCATTAATACATACTTGCACTTTCTCGGAGAGAACAATTTAACAAACGCTTTTAAAATTGGTTTGCTAAATTCGATCGATAAGAATAATTTTTTGTAAAATATATAATTGTTGTAACTGTTTTGTTAAAATAGGTTTTGTTCAAAAACGTATATAATGTAGTTTTTTTTATTTCTTCTTCTGTTACAGAGAAACTCACCACACAATCGGAAGATTTCAGTAGGAAGCTGTACATCTTTGCGGAGAAGAGCCAACGATACATTTGCTTCAATAAGCGGTGGAAACTCGTCGGCCTGGTAATTACTCGCCTACCAATTAGTAGACATACTTCATCATCTCAAGTGAGCGGGTATAAGATTTACACGCGCCGGTAAACGCCTCGTATTGCACTCCGTAAATTTCTATTCATCACCTACTCGCGGGACTATATAATTTAGAAATTGGATTATTAACAGTTCGGTGATTCAAGGTTTCAACGTTTACAATGTATATCACAAGCTTCAATTTTATTTGATTCATCGTGCGTTAAGTACCGTTCAATTTGCTGAAATCCATTTAAAAGGCGTTTTTTAATTATTTTTATTTATTTTGAATGTTGTAATGAAAATCACGTGCAAAAATAAAGTTTCGCGTTTACATATTCAAGGCGTTTAGTGTTGAAATAATTAAAGTTTAGTTGCATTTTAATTGATTCACTAACTTCAAGAGCACACGATAGATAAAATGTGGGCTGATCGTTGTGTCGCGTTTATGGAAAACAATTGAAATTATGTCATATCCATTAACGCAATTATAGACATTGCCATGCGTATAATTGCCACGTAACCATGCAACTTTCCATAAAAGACAACAATCGGCTAACACTTAATTTACGTCGTGTGTTTTTGTCCTAAGACTGCGAATTCTAAGAAAGCGTTATTCTCTCATATATTAGATTACAAGAGATTCAATTGGATGCTTTGCAGTCTTATTATATTTTCAATTGTAATATGTAAACACTGTACAATAATTGGGAATTTTTTAAATTAATATTTAATTGCCAATGTTACTATTACGGCAAATATTATATATAATATTATTTCGAGCTGCAAAGGATTAACGTTGATCGAAGTAGCAGGTCGTGTATCGTGAACCGTCGACTATTTATTTGCAGCCGAAGAAACAGAAGGGACCGATGTGCCAGTTTTACGAGGTGTACAACGGCTCCTATCTGAGGTACAGGAGCGCCGTCGACGGGACGCGGTACATCGGCTTCAACAAGTTCGGCAAGCCAATGAAGAACCCCCACGGCAGGCAGGAGTGTTTCAACTTCATCAAGTACAATCCCCACGCCGACATAAACCACCACAACAGCCTGGTGAACGCGGAGATGGGCGGTATGGAGCCGCGGGAGCCGTACGTCGTCTCGAGGAAACCGTCGCCGGTGATGAGGGCCACGAAGAACTCCCTGTTGCAGGCCGACAGTGCGAGGGAGCACGTTCACACGTCCACGCATCGCCATCGGCACTCGAATCGCTGGAAGCACCTCTCGCATCGGCAGGTCGGGGCGGCAGACTCGGGACCCCGGAGACGGCATGAGAGCTGCCTCCTCGTCGAGGCCAGCAAGTATTGAGCCGCGTGCGAGCTCGCCGATCAAGACTGCCTCCTCCTCCGTATCCCCCGTGATCAGCCTGAGATCAGAACTGCCAAATACGCTGGTGGATCGCACGGTCGGGATGTCAGGAGCCCAACTTAACGGCGCCTGTCGTGTGTTCGCGACTCGAAGCACCACGTATTCGTTCGATCGGTCGGCGAATCGAGAGCGCGGGGCGCGGGCTCGCTTCGAGCACAACACGCCTTAAACGCCCGTTTAGTTTCCGTTTCCGCTTGCCGGAGCGAAGCGATATATATTTCCCGCGGCGCGGCGAGGACGGGTGTCGTCGTCGAGATTAGCGTCCAAGATGCGGCGGTCAAAAACTCCCGCCGACGAAAGCTGTCTCAATTTCACGCGGTTAAGTTCGATTTACACTTGCCCCGACTGATCTCTCTTCAGGCAAGTATGTACCTCTCTCGTAACGTATAAGAGCCTCTTCTTTCTCATCGTTGATTCCTCATCGTGGATTTAATTCGCGCGCGCGACGTTATTCTCTGTCTCTTTTTCACACACACACACACACACACACACACACACACACACACACACACACACTCTCTCTCTCTCTCTCTCTCTCTCTCTCTCTCTCTCTCTCTCTCTCTCTCTGTCTATATATCTATATCTCTTTCTCTTTTTCTAATCTCGTGACGAAGCGTGGCCAATTAGTAGAAAATATCTTTCTTTCGATGCTGCGCGTCGCGGTAAACGCACGACACCGTACCGGCTGTGTAAATTCATCCAAGCCGTTCTTGCTCCGCGGTCGATTCGTTTGGCGACGCGAACGAAAGAAATTCACAATCGCGTAGAAATCGCAGCGCACCCGAACGGCTGCTGTGCTTCGAGCGCGGTCACCGGCCCGCGACGGTAGCGCAAAGAGACGCGCGGACGGCGCACGCCGACGGACATGGTGTTTCCCTCAATTTACTTGGCGAAAATAATTCTTTTCAATACAACATATACAGAATTGCTATAACGTAATCCCGAGATTCAACATAATTCGCTTGAACACACAATATTTATATCAAAAATTCGACCAAGCACAATTAGATTAGATCCTAAAAGAAAAATGTCTCTCTCCCTTGTTCCTGATAAAATCTTAATCGATCTTCAATTTCAATACCATATCTTCGTAAAAATCATCGTAAGAAACTGTCAGTTCATTCATTCGGCTCGATGAAACTCTCTTCGATAACAAGTTGTATGTATTATCGATAATTAACGTGTGTTAATGACGCGCGCAAAAGTCACGATCGTCAACTGTACGATCGGAATTCGATCCTCTCGGCGAATAAAAAGTGGGAACACTGTCGGCGCTGGTCCAGCGAGGAAATACATATTTGTCACGTCGCGGACGCTCGTACGTCGCCGCTCTTACGCTCGCCTGCGCAGTTAAAGCTCACGCCGCGCAAGACTCTCTCGCTCGCTGTGCTAATTACGCCGCCTAACGTAGCGTGCGTGCGTGCGTGCCTGCCTGCCTGCCTGCGTGTATGAATAATGTGTGCGTGCCTGCCTGCCTGCCTGCGTGCGTTATACGTGCGTGCTCGCGATGTACACGCAGACCTCAACCGCGCCGCCGACGCACAAACTCGCGACGCGATCGATTGCGGACGTGCCGAGTCTTACCGATCAACAATTTTCCACGAGGTTTCATTTTCTTTCATAAATTCACAATTCGCTCAAATCGGATCGCGCGGGATTGTATTCGAAACCTTGGAAAATTAATACGATGTCGTCGTGTAGCTTTGAAATAGGAGGAGTAAAATGTTTCAGATGCGGGACATTTGAAGGTTTGATAATAAACAAGGCTGGAAGTGCCATGTGTTGAAAAAAAAAAAAATTACTTTTGTATTTAGAGAAGAGAGCTCTCTATGCTAAAATGATACAGCAAAAAGCTGTACGTGTAATTTTTGAGAAGATTCTTACGAGGACGCCAAGAGATAAAAAGTATTTTTTCTATACTTTTTCAAATGAATAAAATGTAGTTTCTCATTTTTGTACCTTTTCCAAGTGTTTGTCTGCGTGCTCCTCTATCTCTCAAATACAAGATGACATCGATCGATATACAAATTTTATCGGCAATGTTTTTCTAGGCGATTTTACGCAAAATTTAGTTATAATATTTTAATATCTCTCAATTCTCTTTCATTCGACGGCGGTCGATCAGAACTGCGTGTCTGCGTACGCGAGTATATATCGTGTGCATTCTGCGTGCATACGTATTTCGCCTCCGGAAAGTGTGTGAATGAGTGTAATATACTGCATTATCGTTAATGAACTTAATCCTTAGTACGCTATCGCAGACTGTATTATTAGGCTAGATATATGAATATATGACGCTGTGGCGGCTCGACGAAGGAGATCGCAGGGGCGCCGTGTTCTTCGCCATTACGCAAAGGACGTCTTGTGCCAATCTTATTTTTCGCTTCTATTCTCCGAGAATCGGGCTCTCGACCGAGCGTTGACCTCTCACCGCCGTTTTAACTTTTCACAGGCACGAGGAAGGCACCCCGGAGCGGTCCGTTTTCGTAGACTCGCCACGTAAGGAGCGCCTG